CATTGGCAAGTTTGTTGTAATGAGATTTTTATGACATGTACCCTATACTCGGATTTCTGCCAGGACTTGGAAAAAAGTTTGTTTTACTGAAAAACTTCTTGTCAAGGTATTTGTTGAAGGAGATCTTACTGTTTCCTACCACACTTGCCCAATTCAAATTTAATTTTGTTGTGGTCATTTGGTGTGCATTTTTCTGGTAAATCAACAGTAAATATTGATAGTCAAGGCAAAAAGTTACGAACTCTGTTTATGATATAATGCAAGTATTTTTTAGAAGATTATTGACGCGAAATCGTTTCTCTTGCAGGTGGGGGATTCCTTGGACTGCTTCTCCCAAACACAAGTCAAGTTCCTCTTCAGTGATGGCGAGAATCTGTGACCAAGAGAAGTATTGATGTAACAAAGCTGGGGGATAAACTATTATATAATTTTACACTGCTGTTTAATTTTCTTCTGTGAACCCCGAAAAACCAGGGAACGAGTAATATGATGTATCAATTTTAAAGAATTATGTAGGATACACTTCTGATTATTTGTATGTTTACGTTTAAAACTAATTCAACATTTGGAACAAGTCTGCGGAGTGAATATCAACGCAAGTAACTGATTTGAAACAACATAATTTCGGTTGAATCTTTTGTATTAGTTGCCATACAACCACGAGCACTACCACAACTCAGCAGAGATCAATTAATGAAAACAAAATTTCCTGCGAGTAAAAAGGAAGTCTTCGAGCTACAGATTCTTAGGAGCTAAGGACAGTTCCTTCTGCGGGCTACTCTCTAAAATCTATTTTTCCTTTCATCTTTGTTGTAGTGTCATAGTTGAACGCTTGAACAAATCTGATCAAAGGCTTTGAAGGGAAGGTAAACAAAGTATTTGTCGAACATCCACGACGACATGAAAAATGAAAGTAAAGAATGGGCCGTAGCCCAAACCATCACAGTCGCTCAAATGTCTCGAAGAGCATGTCTCCCACATTGGCACGCTCCAGAAAATTCGATTTCTCAAGAGTCATTCCTTTTTGAACACAAAAATTTCCTCAGAAGGTCCCACATTTTTTCCGAAGCATCAAAAATGTGTTCTAACTTCCAAATTTCATTCTACTATAGTTTATAATTGAGTTTTCCATAACTTTTGAAAATCACTTGAAGAAAATTGCAGCAACTTTCAAAACAGAAAATGAATGTAGATGACACTATTCTGCAATTGCGGGGAAAATTCTAGAGATCAGACATCTACAAAGTGAACTTGAACAGATGCCATAACACGGTTTTCATCTAATTTCGTCGCCCAAGAATGTACATTGGGCGTATCTGATTGTAATATCACAGTTGTTGGACGAGTCCACTCTCCACTGCTGCCAATAAACCCCTTCTCCTCCAGTTCCTCATCACCAGCTGTTCCCGTATAATCTGTGCCATTTGCGGAATCTGCCGCGGAAACAACGGACTGCTCTGTGGCTAGAACTGGTGATGATGTTCTGAAAAACAGCATAATAAATGTTAACTATTAGACACGTAAACTCTTTCTGCAACGAAATTCAATGAACAGTTCATCGTCAAGAAATTTTCATTTAAAAACACGAAAATAACATGAGAGAATCTACGGGACCAAAAAAAATGTGTTAAACAGTAAAATTCAAGAAATCGATTGAGAGCAGGGAAAAAGCTTTTTTTGTAACGCAATCTTCGTTGTGATGTGACTAACAACTTTTTTTGGGATCAAATACTTGTTATAGAAAGACTCATTATAACAAGAGAGATACCGTATAGAGAAAACTGTCGCAGACAAAATGTTATAGAGGAAGTTCATTGTTACAATAGTGAAGCATTAAATGAAACAGTGTTAAATCCAGAAACTCATGCATGGAATTAGTGATTTGGAGATTATTTAGTCCACTGACGTTTCCATTGGAAATGTACCAATGGGAAAAGTGCCTTAACCGAGTCACCACTATTTTACACACTCATGCCACCTACCTGGAGGATCCAGACCGAGATCTTCCAAAAGCGGGTCTGGGTTCCACAGAAGTTCTGTAGGGATTCTCAACCATCATGCTTCTCCTTGAAGGCCCTCCACCGCTGTGATGCACATAACGGCCACCCCTACACGAGGCAGCATCTGAACAATCTTCCAGTGGTGTCATGGTTGAGTAACCCATGTCATCAGACTCTGCCCCGGCCCTTTTGGAACCCGGGCGCCTGTGGTTGGTGTTGCTTCCTACTCTCCGCAGCTTCCCGCCACCGGAATCGGACACAGGAACCTTTCTCAGACCTATCGTTAAAAAACGAACAACAATTTTCTTCTTGGTTGATAAGATTATAGATATATAATCTCAATTCATATAAATTAATATACTGTAATTAAATATATTTATAGAATTTATATTGGACTAAAGATAATTTTGACATAGAAAGGTTTTTGACTGAAAAGGTCCACCTTTATTTAAATAAGAGTTGAACTCCAGAGACTTTCCGAATTTTTTTTCTTTTACACAAATTTTTATAAATTTGTATATACTCTAATTTGTATATACTCTTCTTCATTTGTTGATCATAATCTTTCTTGGGGTAGGACTGTAACTCATTTTTCATGCTACGGATATCTTTGATTCCTTCAGGAAAAACAAAAGCGCTGTTTCAAATCCTAGAGATCAAAGCCAATTTGCACTCCTGATGTTAAATGAATTTCTAATGTTAAAATAAAAGAATCGCTGATTGTCCGAAGAAGCTCGCTGAATCCGTAAAACAATAAAATGCTCACAAGAAGGAATTTCCCTCAGGTCATCATCATCTTCAGCGCCGACATCATGCCCAATGTCTAGTCCTTTCCCATCGTCCACCAACAAACAATCCTTAGCGCCTCCCTGGGCACACAACCCGGTGCCCGGACTGCACCCATCGTCATCCCATTCCCCAAGGCCTCCAAAATTCCGTCGTTGGCGGTACCGCAACCCGCCGAACCCGTCCCCGAGATAATTGGTGTCTCTGGGGTCCTTGTTACCGTAATGCCAGTAGCAGTACGCGCCCAAGGCGAGGAACAGGAAAACTGCCATGATGCCACCCGCAACTGGGCCAACGGGTGTAGACTTAGCCAGGTCAAAGACTGACTCCCGTTCACCACCATTGTAGTCTGGATTGGTTCTACCATCTAAGTGGACATGAAAAGTTCACATACAGTTGGCCCCCAATAACTCGAACCTCACGAAGTAAATTTTTTTTTGAAGTCCCTGTCTAAATTTCCTTAGAAACAATGCATTAAAAACCTCTACAACTCGAAGGCTTATCCTCTCAGACTTTCTCAACTCGATTTTCCTGAGGACTTTTGGCTGCTATTTTCTTGACACAGGAAAGAGAAAAGCAATGAAAAAAATTTGTATCTCCAAAGGAATTGACAAGACTATTTGGGCAAATAATCCCATGCATTTAAGTTCAGCATTCTGTCAACTCAATTAAGAAGGAAATCAAGGCCCAGGATGTCACCATTCACTGCAACAAAAATACTTGTTTCTGTAATGAAAACCTCCCAAACTCAATTATTTATGCTGGTCCCTTGAAATTCGACTTATGGAGGTATAACTTTATTCTTAGTCTCACGGCAATGACTCAAAATTGCAATCGAAGTAAGAAAGAAATGAAGTTAATAAATAAAAATGAAAAAGCTCACCCAGGACTTCGTTGTACGGAGAAGTCGAGCCAATGACGCTCCAAGAACACCTCGCATGATCACCACAAAAAGGCTTCTTCAATGATGTGAAACCATCTGCAGCAACAGAACACCACCAACAGCCAGCTGAAGCCCTGCAGGACCTAACACAGAAAAATCGAAACTGTCCGTCTATTTTTTTCGATGCCCAAAAATCCCGTTATGTTCTTTTTAAGATTAAAAAATTACTTGCCAATGAATATAAAGAAAGCGAAATACTGTACTCTGAATCAGAGAAAAATAGTACAGTATCCAAAATCGAGCTTTTCGTGTCTCGCGTTTAAGATCGATGATTTTACTTTAATATCATAGATGTAGCTTCAATTATGATAGGTGGTATTGGATTGAGATCGAGGCGACACCTGCCTGACGCTCAAGCATAAAATGAGCATCAGTAGTACAGACGCGAGTTCATAGATGTCATTCTACAACACAATGCATTTGTCTTCCGCTCACCACTCGTCCAGAAGTACTCCGCAGTCGTAAGAAAAACACGGCGGTATTTGACCCCATGTGGGCGCAGATGACCCAGTCTTGACCCACATCGAAGACGCACGTCCCGGGCTGTCTCTCCAATTCTGAGAGGATCTGAAACTGGTTACGCCTCCATCGACAACACTGGTTTCGCAGACCGGATTCCGTTTCTCGTCAACTGACGAACAGGTCAAGTCGCCAGTCAGAGGACATTCACAGGGACACTCGCACTCCTTTTGCTCCATTCGGTTGCAGTAGAAACAGGACCTGTCCTCCTGTGAAGAACAACAGCAAAAGTTGATTTCGATACGTCGATGAAAAAAATCGACTATGCCTTGAAATATCAATCAAGAAAGTGGTTGGTTTTGAACTTCCTCTGTTGAAATCTTAGTAAAAAAAAAAAAAAGAGTTCAATTTGAGATCTTACTTCTATATTTGATTTTTCGAACCATCTTGAGATGTTCTTATTTCCCGAACGTTGACAATAAAAATGAGATGAAATTGGATCCTCAAAAAAAAACGGAATCAAGTCACTTCAACATACAGTACAACACAGTAGTTGTTTCTTACCAATAAGTCCGTTCAGACTGCACTCAGAAAAATTATAATTCTTACAATAAAATAATTTTTTTAGAATAGTTTCGATCGAACAAGTTTCTATGGAGAATTATGGCATAACCTCGATAACAAAAGAAAAAAATTGTATTCCATCGTGAAACCAACTTTTACTTTAATTTTACGGGAAGTTTGGAGCAATAATGAAGGCTCCCCCAAAAGTTTTTGAAACGAATGTGTCATGCACATCATTGCTGTGGACTCTTTAAAAGTTTCTCTGAGCTCCCTTTAGGTAGCGGATGCTTTATGCTTACCGTGCTGCAGGGACAAAAAACTGTGGCAAAACCAGAATTCTTCACACATGCTGTGACGTTGATGACCGTGAGAAACAAGTTTGTTTCCGGAACAGAAACAAGAGAATAAGCCGCGCACATTTCGCCGTGGATCCGGCTTTTCAGAACTGAGCTCACGCTTCTTCGGAATTTCCAGAACCTGAAACAACCACAAAATTCCTCAGTTGAAATTCAATAGGAAAAACGCAAATCATTCGTTCTTTAAAATCATTTTAGTACAGAACATCGTATTAGAAATTAATCGCTTGCGAAAAGGGCATCAACGTAAGTTTCGAGAAATCACCTAGGAAATGTCTGTGTCAACACATCTTGATATTTTTTGTCTAAATTGAAGTGCTAGTGCTTCTCTCGGGGGAAAGAAGCCGAAAGAGTGAAATTAAAACAAAGCTCCCTCAAATCAATTATCCTACGAACTCATTTCAATTTACCCTTGATTATTTCGGAGATTTATTATCACAAATGCCAGACCATTTCTAATGTCAAAGGACTTTCAGAAAACACTTGAGCTGGTTTTTACATTTAGAAAAGTCGGAAAAGTTTTCAATCTTCGCTTCGTAGAAAAACAAGGACTGCGTAGATTTCCGAAATAAAAATCAAATTATAAATAGATACGCACCGCTGAGAAGTTCCGTCAGCCGGTTGATCACACAACAGCTTCTCCACAATCCCATCCTGATGCAATAAGTCATTGGCCAAAACTGGCTCCACATCCGCCACGTGAAGTCGTTCCGTGTCCCGTTTCTTCTTCAATCGAAAACTCGATGAAGATGCCAACTTCTTGTGCATCCCAGGGAAAAAGAAGTCTCCGGGTAATCTTCCGCCTCTGGCCACAGTTGCGAGCGGAGACTTCGGCAAGAAGAGACTCGGGTGAGACACGACGTATCCTTTCTCGTCCATCAAGAAACACGTTATTTCCTTCGATGATTCTGTTTTACAGCCAGGAACGACCTCTGCCATCATTCTGGAAATTAGGAAATCCAATCAAATGAAAATTTAAGGAATGTTGCATGATTGCTACTCAAATGCCCGATGTTCTCGAGTCGTACGATTTTTTTCTGATGCATAGAAGTCGCCTGAATCCATTAGGATTTCATTCAGTCTAACTAGTACTACACATATATTAGAATGATTATGGGTCGTCATTTCAAGATAAGTCGGCTTCTCTAATATACTCATTAAAATACTGTACTCGAATTTAATCGAAATGTGAGCAGAAATCACTCACGCGACCCCTATTTTACATTAAGAACAACAACTGTGATGTAAAATTTGAAAGAAATTATGATTGTTCTTCAATGTTCTCTGAGCATGTATATTCTATGTTCATGTATATTCTAGTGAAGTAAATGCTAAAGGAATATTGAAAGACAACCGGGGCTTCTTTTCTCAACCGAGCACCTAAGGTGCTTGAATGGATGATTTTCTTCACTATAACGTAGATGTCGCCCGAACCCAAACGCGAAATACTATTACGGTACTGTACTGTACTTGATTAAGTTATTCTGATTTGGACTACCCTACTCTTTACGGATTTTAATAGGTTTTCAGTTCAAGATACCCAAGGTCAGTTTACTTCATTTTCAGTCAATAAGGAACTTAAACAATGTTTGATCCACAATTAAAAATAAGGATCAGGTGTTGAAGTGAAAATACTGGAACAGAATATTGTTTCATGGAGTTTGACAAACCGGTAAATGAAGCCCATCGAAACGTCCATGCCGAGAACAGCATGAACATTTTCAATGCCCGGTTTCTTCACAGCGTTGCTAATGGTGACTAAAAACCCGGCGCCATCCGCATCCAGCCAGGGTTGAGATATCACCACACTACCCAAAAAATTGGCTGCCCTGAGATACCATGCTTGTTTAAACGGATCAAAAGCAGTCAGATCTTCTGAATTTCCACCGATTCCCGGAAAACTGATGGAAACTCCCAAAGCCGTCGCCGCATATTTCCGCACCACGGATCTCCTGAAAAAGTCAAATATGCGAAAAATCTAGACCAACTCACGCGAGGCACTTTACCCAAGTAAATTTTAATCCAGGTGAAATTCAGATTCAGATGTACAGTATCTTATTTTCAAAATATTTCAATTCTCAGTCTCTAATTACGTGTACGTCTTACTTGATAATAGTTTTACCCAAATTTTAGGCTGCAAATTTGGGTAATTTTCAGCCACAAATTGAAAATTCCCAGCATACAGTATATACTCGAGTACCACGCGCCTTCGAGTAAGACGCGCACCCCATTCTTAGTGAGCCTAAAACTGCAAGTAATCAAAAATAATAACGCCCGAAGTTGGATTCAGACCTGATTCGATCCTAAATTCAACTAATATCCAATTTTTTCCATTACAGTATTTTTTCTATTTAAATTGGTTCGAAAATTTTCGTTAGAATCAATTATAAATGCATAAGGTACTCGAACTTTTAAAACTTTTAAAAATGCACATCCGTCAAATCTTTGACGCGGCACCTCCTTTTTTCCCTCTTTTTTTATTTATTTATTTTTTTTTTAAAGAATGTGAGCGTGGTAATCGAGTGAAAATGGTACACCAGCATCTGTAGAAGAAAATAATCCGCACCAAGTTTGTTGGTCGCCAGGCCAGGATCGCCAGTGCATGCTAAGCAACCCCAGGTCTTGGGCGTCCGTCTTGACTCCGTCTCTCAGGCCAGGGTTGCCCACGAGATGCGTGGTGTCCCACAGGTAGCCCGCGTAGGCCTGGGCTCGGGCAGCAGCTGCCCCCGGGTTTTCCTCCGCGTCTCTGGTTAGCGTCAAATGCGGATCAAGCAACGCAGCCGGACTAAACATCACGGAGCTTTTATCTGAAATCATTCGGAAATCGTCAACGATCGAAATTACAATTTTTAAACAAATATAAGGACAGTTTACCGAGGGTGGCGAGTCGCTGGAAATGTTTGCAAAATCGGAGACCTTTTCCTGGCAAACCCAGGTCTACTAGTCTATGGTGAACCAGTTGCCCAGCTCCAGCGGTTTTCTCCTCTGACGCTGGCCAGGGGCCATTTACAGCGTCGCGTTTTTCGTCTGACAATTTTTCTCCGGGTTTTGACGTTTTCTCAGCGATCACGAAAATGAGATATGATGGTTCCGTGTGCTTCCACTTGTACTAAAATTTGAAAATAATGTCCGATTTTGAAAGAAACGCTATTTGAGGCGTGATATGAACTCACGAAGGGAAGATTACACTTTAAAAATATCTAAATAGCTGTACAAGGAAAGTATTCTAGCCTTGAAAAGTTGAAATAACGTTCATCAACTTAGAATGTTAAGGCAGTCAATTTATTTTTTGTTTCATACTTATGTTCAAAATGCCCAAAATCAAGTAATTTTACAGAAGTATGTCTTGAACTTAATCATTTTTCAACTGGTCAAAGTTTGCCTTGCAGACAAGGCATTGCAGGAAGCACGATCGGACAAAAAATGGAAGAAAATTCATAATTCATAAGAGTCACGAGTTCAATGATAAACTTACTCGAATGCTGGTCGTGTTTCGCTGTCCAGAACTTTCCCCCAAAATGGATGGCAAAATATCTGCAAATCCGTGATCTCTTTCGACGTCTGCGATGTACACAATTGGCGCTTGATCCTTCGCAGAACGCGGGTTGATTAGAACAGGATGGGCCAGTGTTCGACCTGAAACAAGAAACGGATACAAACTTGACTAATGCAAAATACATAGTTTAGAACCCGTCGGTCGCTTGAAATAGTACCGCACGTCATCTTTACGAGATGCCAACCCCAGAATAAGCAAAGCAAATATCTCCCACACTCACCTGATCCATCGATCACGAAACAATATTTGCGATTATCATGGATGGAGCAATACGTTGCAGGATCTGTGAATTCTTCCAAAGAAACGTCCAAACCAGCAGCGACCTTCTCCTGCTCACACCACTGAGAAGCAGTAACTAAAAGTCCTGTGAATTGAGAAGAAATACTTCATTCACATTTCCAGCAAGTTTAATTTCATCAGGAAAACGGTGTTCTTATTATTTCAACGCCAGGTGTTTAATCTTATAACGTTAGTCCGTCGCAATTTGTCATGTCAGGTTATTTGTGGAACCTAGTGATTGAAGCGACACCTATCTGACATTCCAGAAGGCAAAGTCAGGCGTTTTTGCAGAAAATGACCTCAAAAGAAATTTTTGCAGGAACAAATTTTGAAAAAGTTACACAAGGTGGTCTAACAAAATTTCTCGGAATAAAGATGTGAACGGCACAGGGTTGAGCAGAAAAACAATTATTGTTCTGAAAAACCATTCTTTTGGCCGACGGAAATAAAATTAAGCCCTGTTAAACATATTTTGTATAAATTTTTCGCATGGCGCAGATCTTTTTTTCGTGAAGCCCAGCTCATCATTCAAAATTTTTGTAATCGATATGGCATTAATTCCAAGGGTTGCCCCTGGTCTTCCAAGGTCATTCCGTATGTTTCAATTTTCATTAAAATAACTTTTCTTAGACCACTTGTGCGTTTTTCAACTTGCTTTTATCAAACGTGACAAGAAGTAAATGATACGTTTCCAACAAACCTTGAGAAACGTCGTCCCAAATCGGAGGTGCAAGCCGCATTTTTGTCTCCCTCGAATCTCCGTCGGCAAAAATCGTATCCCAAACATCAAACGCATTCAAAGAATCTTCAGTAAATTCTTCACTCAACCATTTCAGGCAATGGAACACTTTGCAAATGCTCAGAAGCTGTACATCAGCGACACTGCTCGGAAGCAGAAGTGAGAAACGAACAGAAGAAACTCCAAGCAGAGTATCTAGAAGTGTTCCCTGGTTTTGCAAAAGCGAGTCCATTTTGTCGGCGACATAGACGAGATGAACGTCCCTGAGGGCACAGGAATCAACTAGATTGTTGCCACAGGATTCCCAATTCTTCAATGCATCCAATTCCCGTTGAATGAGGGACACCGCAGCTGTTATGCCAGCTGATAAATTCACACCTTCAACACAAAGTGAAATGCACATTGAGTTTTCCAAGATAACTAGACAGCAAGAAAATTTAAGATAACTAGAAATTAGGTCATGTTTTATGACCACATGTGTTTCCCAAGAAAATATTTTGTTTGAATAAAAAATCCCCGAGCATCCATAAGATGCAAAATCCGCAGAATCACCTGAAGTCTTGTTCATTCCACGATCCAGAAAAGCAGCCAGGCAACCCAGTGCAGGAGCGGAGACGGTGACAAAAGATCTTCGCCTCCACTGGGAGGACTCATTATTGCACGCCAAAAAATCCCGCGGCGTTGAGATGTGAGGAACCCCAGCAGAAATGTGTTCGCAAAAACGCGGTCCCGGCTGCACTCCAAACTGAGCTCCATTTTCTCCAAGCATCATAACGTTTAGTTCGGCGTTTTTTGGCAACAATGACAACAATTCCAAAGCTGTCAAGTGGAATTCGTAATGAGTATAAAATCATCACAAAATGCTTCGCTGAAATTAAGGGTGTCCAAACGTTAAAAGACGTATAAGAAAAGTATCAAAGTTTATGCGGAAAATGCCAAAAAATGCTTGAAAATAATTGAGCCGCCTTTAAGGCTCGATTTTGTTTCTTGAAGTGTTCTGTTTCTTGACAGGTGTCGCCTGATTCAGTCAGGTGATAGAAATGAGTCTTCCTGAACATCAACCAAGCTAAGTTTTGATGGAAATCTGCATTGTTCGAAATAATCCTCACCGAATTCGCTTTCTTTCGAGCCTAATCGGAATTTCCCATCAAACAACACCAAAACCAACTTCCGCTTCGGAAATTTGGCATCAAAAAACGTCGCTTTGTGATGATTGTCGATGAATGGCGAGCAGAATTTCCCATTGGGACAACGAAATTTCTCTGCCGTGGCAGCAGCTGGGTATCGAATCAAATCCCCATTGCCAGACACGAGAAATTGCCATTTGAGCGTCGGAATCTCATTCTGATTTTGAGCAAGGGAGTTCGTCAAATTCGAAGATACGAAGAGCTGCCTTTTCAAACCACGTTCCACGGTTTTCTCGGGGGTCATCACCTTCAAGAAGGCAATCATTAAATTATTTTCGAATCAAAATACAGTGTTCCAATAAATAAACAAACCTTTCGTTCCGAACTTGTAAAACACGCAATATCTAGCGAAGCTTCCGTTTTCAAAAAACGGTTGAAACGGAGAATTTTGGAAGGAAGACTTTTGCAATCAGGAAGCGGATCCCATTGCTGCCAAGCTTGTGGGCTGTCGGAAATTCGGTTGTTTCAAACTCAAACAATAAACTAGGATCTAGTAAAAAAATTGAATGACTGATGTTCAACTAGAAGATTTCGCAAATACCCCGATCTTTTCACTTCAACGCCCGAAGTCCGGGCATTCCGAGACTTCCTTCAATGTCACACAGGTATCGCCTGAATCTTAATACACTTGAAATTAGTTTGTCAGTCGTTTAGGTAAAGCAAGATTAATTTTAATCGTCTGACTGAAACAAGCGACACCTGTCCGACATTCAAGAAAACATGGTAGGGCATGAATGAGGGAAATTTAATAAATACTTGATGAATCAAGCTCAACAACGCTTCACATACTGCATTAAATCCTCCACCGGATTCCACGTAAACTTGGCAGCAGAACACGCAGTTTCGAGCAATCTTCTGTAACGAAGCAGTTTTTTGGACAATGATTTCGTCACCTGCAATATGAAGAAATATATCTCGTTGAAAAAATTGCGAAATTAGAAATGTGCAAAAAACTCGACATAACCACCTCAGAGAGCAACTCTTCGTCATTTCTTTCTCTACGAGTCGCAACGTCCACGCCTTTCCGTCGATCAAAGATTGTCTAAAAAATTAAGGTAGCGTCGAATTCAAGTTCACAACGAGAACTACTGTACAACAAAATTGAAGACTGACCTGAAGAGAGGCGACACCCAGGTCCTGATCAACCAATGCCCGCAGGTGCAGAGCAAGATTCTTCGCCGCATCCAGCAGCCATTGACTTTCAGCTTCTTTACCAACAACACTAAAATCCGAACCAATCACAATAATTCCGAACACAACTGGGAGCACATGTGCTCTCCCCAACATCTAATAAATCACATAAAATTGAAAATTCAGAACTGATGAGACGCATGAATCAAGTCCCTCTGTTACAGATTTCTTCCACAGCAACATTCTTGAGATAGCGAATTATTTCTTGGTTGTGGCAGATCCATAAACACATACGATGAATCAAAAGAATTATATAGATTAAAAAAGGCGAGATCTAAAAATGGCTTACTGTTATCACGAAGCGAATGACGACGAAAATCAGCTCATTCAATCCTTCAACTTACGCATGATTTTAGTTTCTTAATTGAAACACAGCGAAAAATATTTAAAGACTTCAAAATACAAATGATTTTGGTCTTTTGGCTACTCGAGAATTCTCTCATTGATCCGCACAAAAAACAGGTTGGCACTTTTTAAAAGTTCGATATTTTTCCTTTCTCCACGCTGATCACATCAATGCACATGAAAAAATTATAATTTAACGCAATTTGAAGAAAGACTCGATGAGGTAGAAGTTTATTTTCATGCAAAATATGAAACATCACAGCGTATGTGGTAGTCTACTATTTTCGCCCACCCTGAATTCAAAAGGAAATTCTTTCCAAAACGGTAAATATTTTCGCTACCTCTAAATATTGCAGTAAAGTGACTGTATCTGAATAAAAAAGACAGTATTCATCAAAAAATTGATAACCAGGATCGTTCTAATTTCTAGACAACACAGAAACGTTTCCAACGATTAATCTGAGTTTATTGCCTATGATCAAGAAAAATATTGCTCAGCACCAGCGGAAAAAGAAACTCGTCGTTTCAATCGTAAGAAGGCACATGAGAAGTATTTCATATATCTTCCGGCTCCTACATTCGAAATTTCAATGGACGACCAGGAAATCTGAGGCAGCACGGAGAAAATTTCCGAGGAAAACGAAGAAAAAAAAACCCGAAAATCTCGGAATAAAATCCACCGCTCAAAATGGCCAAGTAAGAAATTCTCTCATAAACCAAACGTGCCCTCGCAAGGATGCAAAAATTTCTCTGCCAATACTAAAAACTTATAAAAATGGAATCTGCTATACATTTTTCGAGTTGAAAGGTTGCTTCGCACCCACGTCACTATCTCATGCAGCCAAAAAGGAAAAAAAGGGAGAAGTCTTTCATATCAACTAAATTACGGGGTCAAGGATATTCTTTCATACAAAACGTTCGCCAAACGACAGCGCTGACGGCGGGTCCAATTTTCTGACCAGTTCCCTGGTCAATTAAATCCTTCAGCAATTTCTTCTTCTCGTCAGCAACTGGGTCTTTCCCAACGTTTGGATCTGAGGGCTCCTCACCGATAGCCAAGTACGCATTCCACAATGCCCTGTACGTTGGGTACTTGGTCACGATTTCCTTCGCCTTCGATTCTGTCAGTCCTTTCACCTGAAGCAGTCCTTGTGCAAGTACGTCACGCACAGAATATCCCTGAAACGGTGAACAAAATTGAAATTTTCGCAGAATCACAGGTGAATTATAGTAAAATATGACTACAGTATATTTATGGAAGAACGAGCATAATTTCCAGTAAAAAAAAAGAAGGCCATGCTTCAAAATCGTGAAATCAATGTGAACAAGACGCAGAAACCCAAAAATTGAACAGAATCAAAACTTTCAACAAAAACCTTTTTTCACGCGGTGAAATCGAAAATTAAAGCATTTTTCTTAAAATAAGACGTTAAACTCCATCTTTTTGATTCATAATCATTAAGCTCACATATATATCTTTTATAATATCGATGTCTGCATTGAAAAGGCTAATGGCGCAACAGTTTCGTAAATAATTCCACATTAATTAAATACGATGTATTCTGGCACAAATGAGACCCAGAAGTTTCAAAATACTGACCGGCGTCTTCACTGCGAACTTCTGCAAATAATCGAATCCCATGAGTTTGATTGGATAGGGGTCATTCGGTTTCAGACAAGTGAACTCCTGATGGGTCACACTGGACAATGTCCGACCCTAAGTTAAAAAAACGAACGAATTCGTAAAATACCGTAATTCAAATGAACCAAAAATAAAGATGGCACAAAAAAATCAACAATGATCCGTCGCTGCTTCGCTGCTTTCCAAATTTCACTGATCAGCAGAATTGCTAAAAGCGCATCGCTGGAACGATTTCTCTCATGAAATCACTCTAGAAGTGGAAAACCACTTACATCGTGAATCTTAGTCCAAACTTTATTGTGTCAAAGCATTTCTCATCAATCAACAGCTCTATCAGAGTATCCCGAAAAAAATCAGAACCGAAAATCTTCATGAATTTATTTATGAAATCTCTTCACTTCGCATAGCCTGAAGAACAGCTTTACACTTCAAGACTGAATTTAATAAGATAAAAAACAATAGCGATACCACTTACCGAGTAAACTTCACGAAAAATATTCGTGATCTGTATCAGGTAATTGACACTTTCTTCCACATTCTTAGTATGAACTACCGTCATTCCATCCCGCACTGCAGCACTGATAAGGGCTTGTTCTTGCGACTGCTTCGACGGATGTAGAGCCGAATCTTCACCTTCCGGTATCTGCCTCGGAAACCCATTTATGCGCGGATTGTGTTTTCCTGCGGTCACATTGCGTTAACCATAAATTGTATTCTCCGAGATTTAATTCGATGTCAATTGCGCCAAAAGTCCAATATTTTACTTTTACTAGTGGCCATTATTGTCATGTGAACGATCAAATGAAATTGTTCAATTGAACATGACAGAAAGCCGAAAATTGTTGTAGAACACCGGATTCAACCCAGCGTTGTATTAACGATCATACAGCTACAAATGCAAAATAAGAAATTCAACGAATCAAATACAGTATAAATAAAGTGGGTTCCCGGATAACGAAACTAAGCTGTTCCTCGGGGTTTCTTTATGGTTTATGCGGAATTTTTCTGATGCGAAATGCGATTTCCTTCAAGGTTTTACTGTCAATTACTCAAGTTGTTCCGGACACACCAAAAGCCATAATGAAGTATTAAAATAACTCATTTTTTCAATATTTTTTCGCATAAAATTGTAAATTTGAAATTCAGAGGTATGGAATTCAAGTAATCCGGAGGAATTTGCGCCCTGACCTTGCTGAACTTGGCGAAAAGTATAACATTTTTTCCTCATCTTCCTCAATTTTTGGAATAAAAAATTCCGAAATTTTAGTCGAAACGTTTAAATTTGAGAATTTTTGGCAATAGAGAAGAAATTCCAAAAACGTAACAGATCCTTGCTTGAAATAGAAGCATTTCTTCGATAGCCAAAAAATAAAATTAATAAATTCAGAGTAAACTAACGAACCTTCGATGAGTAAAATGACTTTGAGATTAGTCTTTTTCAGCCTTCTTTTTTGTTCTCGCCAGCGTCCGTCCTTGATGCTTGACCAAAGGTCGTCGTATCGTTTTCGTTCTACGACCAACGGAAGGCTCAGGAGACGTTCACTTTCGGGTCCGTCGCTCCCGTGCGCGACCCACAAATAATCTCCGACACTTAACCTTTTTCGCACTACAGAAGCGCCCTTGGATTCCAACTTTGACACGAATGGATTCGTTTTGGTTCTAAGAAAAGTGAAAGAAATTCATCAAAACAGCGAGAACAAAGTCCACAAAACCAGAAGCTTCGTGAATGGTTTTCCTCGTTTTTCAAGTATTTTTGCCACTATTTCAAGATATACGTTGATCACATTCTATTCTCATTAAAAATTTATTCTGAAGTGTGCGAAGACAATTTTTTATAGAGATCTGGAGCAGATTGCAGCATGGCCATACAATGCATTGTTTACAATTTTCAATCAAGAAAACTTTTGGGCGTTTAAATTATCAACCAGGCGTTACTTAGTCAATTGACTTATTGTGGATTACACACTGGAACAGGATAAGTCCATTAACCGAGGCAATACCACACACCATTCCCCGACTTTACGCAGAAGTCCTAAAAATTAATTCAAGAACATATAAAATTAAAGAAAATTAGAAAAACTAACGGTAAGATACAGTACACAGGCTTCTAGAAAGTTTATCTATCGAAAGCATGTATGTTTAGTTCAAGATTTGAAAAAGGAAGAAAGAGCAGACTTCTTCCCTGAAGGAAAAAAAATATTCGGACAAGCAATATAAATACAATCCATCATAAAAACTTTCAATTACAGCATCTGTAATTCTTAAGGAAATGTTTTCAACAAAAAATACATGTATTCTGTGCATCACAGTGGAAAAAAATATGCAAGTTCTAAGCTCACTTTTTCACAGTTTCAGCCCAGTCAACCACAATCGACACGCCAGTACTCTCGACGCTGAATGACAAAAAATCCTCTTCGTCGGATTTATCAGAGGGTGCGTCAATTTCATCGTCTGCAACGAAAATTTCTTGCGAAAATGCCCTCACTGGATCAGTGAAACTAATGAAAACGAGCAAGAAAATTAGTTTTTGAGGGTGAACATTCGAACAGAAATAACTCACTTTCTTTCTTGAAGGTACCTCAGCTGTGGAGAGTTTGCTCTAGGGTTTGTATCCAATTCAGTACGCCTCGTGGATACATTTTCCTCGCTAATTCAGCAAATGAAATAAAATAAACACAGGAGAATTATTACACAAGAACTCCATTTTCTGGACTACAATTGAGTGGACATTCCATTACCCGTCCCATATTTTCTGGGTCATTGCACTTCGGGCCTCGAACGAATTTTGATATAATTATCTCAGGTCATCTGAACAAAAATCCCACGTTAATAATGGTTCTTCCCAAAAGGAATAAAGATAATTTGAATTTATCAGTAAATTCCCAATATTATCTCTCGTGATTCAACGTGATTCACACACGAGAAAATATAAAGAAAAACTTTAAAATTTTTTTGTTTGATTGCTCGATTAGATGAGATACGATATTCCCTCCATAAATAAACTCTGTTATCAGCCCAACTAAAAAAAACCCAATGCGACTCACTTTGTTTCAGTGCAAGAAGAACGTTCCGCACTCGCACTGGAGCCATGACTAACGAACCTATTCATGTTGCCTCCACTGCCCGAATCAAAATAAATGGATGATTGATTAATTATCCTCAGAAATTTCTCTAGTCAAATAATAAACTCTTACTTTACACTATTCAGCAAGGCATCGAAAGGGTCGTACGTCGGCGACGGAGGAGGAGACGGCGACACTGCATGAATACCTCTTCCACTTGGTTCCGGCGATTTCGGTATTGAATGAACAGAACTTCCGGGACTAGTTTCCAACTGGTTCTCCTCCAAAGCATCTTGATCACCATCTGGTAAACAACAAAAAAAAGCTACATTGTTTAATGCATTCGACTCCAATTAATTTGTTTCAAAGAAATTCATTTACATGTAGTCACATAATCCACAATCGATATCGATTCATTCTTGAACACACGAAAATAATCAGAAGTTCTTTTCCCAGCTTTAATCACCATCATAAGCATGAAAATTTTAGCTCGGTCACTCTCAGTTTCAATATACTTGTGGAGTCCACAAGCTCAGCACAAAAAATTTGGCCAGCATTCCAAATTGTACATTTGTGGAGCAGCCAATTTACATTAAATCAACAATTCCCAACTTTCAAAATCACGCACCGAAGCTTCTCTTCAGCTTTGAATTTAAAATAGAAAAAATAACTAGGAGAAAGACACATTATGCGATATGATGGGCAACTCTTCCGACTTGTGACAATACCGTCCTGATTATTCGAGAAAACGCTTATTCTGGCTCGTCAAAAAACATCAAAGCATTCAAACGAACCAAAATAAGACTGAGGAATTTCCAAGTCTGCCAGATTTTCACTTGAAGTTGGATTTGGATCAACCTGAGTCGAACTGCTCTCAGTGGCTTCTTCTGGATTTGACGACGATGCTAAAATGAAAATAATCGGAGAATTTCATGAACTTACTTCCCTGAATAAAGTTGTAATCATAGGAGAACTCAGATCATTAGGGCATCTGATTAATAGGCTTGATTCACTGCGATAGAAAAGACTGATATTAAACCAACTATCCAGCTTGAAGATCCGTTGATATATCAGAACCAACGTCATTTTTTCTCAACACTGCTTCTGTTGAATTAATTTCCTCTAATTATCGATTATGCGTGATATTCAATTTTCCGGATTAGGTCATCTTGTCGTATCCTGAAATCAGAGTTCCAATGTATTTTAACCCATACATGCATAATTGAAGACTGATCATCTGCAAAATTTCGATAATAAAACTTTCAAAGACAACCTGAATTTTGAAATCTCACCTGTAGCCTGAGCAATTTCAACTTCTGGCTCAGAGTCAGTCTCCCAATCGTTACCAAAGTTTTCGATCGCGCCGCAAGGTTTCCAAGCATTACCCGGTTTGTAAGAATGAGTTTTTGCAATAATCCCGTGATCCAGATTGCAGAACTCGAAAGCCTCGTAAATTGCATCAGTTAAAGGCGCAAAATCAGACGCTTCATCGTCCGATAATGTCAGCAACATTAGGGAATCCGGACATAGGAAGTCTTTCGGAATTGACTGCGAACTTTCAGTAAAATAAACATTACAAATTGCAACATACGAATCAACATTCTTTCCAGAATAATTTTCCGTATTACCACTAATGTGAGTGAAAACAGGTTTTGGCAAAGTTAATCGTTTCATGAACTCACATGAATCCTTTACATACGGATTCACGCACAGGCGACATCTACTTGAATAAAATGATTTAATAGCTCATTACCTTTCCTTAACTTACATAAAAAAAGTAATTTAAACCAACATACTGTATAACATAAGCTAAGCTAATAACAAGTTTGATAACAGGTAATCATGCGACAGAAAAGTTCGTTCCCTCTCTCCGTTGTTGTAAAAGAATTATTTTTTCTGAAGGAAAATGGCGTCCTTCTGAACTACAAACGAATTTCTTGAAATACTCACCTAAAGGGAAGCCAAAACTTATTGGGATGATTTCGCATCAAAACCGCGCCATCAGATTTCGTTACAAAAGCTACGAATCCAAATCCTGCTGCAGTCGAAAAATCGCACAAGCTTTTATCCTTCTCTGTCACCAATTTGAAATCAAAGTCGATGTAGCAAAAAGCGATTCCTCTCAGCAGATCACCGACGACTCCAGCTGCGTTATTTGCGCTTTTCAAATCACTTGCCTCTGCGGAAAAGAAAACTGGCATTAAACAGCAAGAAGCCTCTGCGGAAAAGNATTTTTATCCTTTCGCGTCCCTTCTCAGTGAGGAGGCAAAGATCTTCGGGAGTGATTTCGATCACCCCTGCTTTGACCAGCAATCGCAAAGCGGTTCTCACCTCCCCAAAGCCAGAGATTCCACTTTCCTCACTGACTTCCTTTTGACCCAGAACAATGAGAGCCAAAGTTCTTGTCGGACCTTGAATAAAAGAGAATTCAATTGTTTCAATATTCTTCAAAGTAAAATGGTAACCCACATAATTAGAGCCTGGCATCATGGATTTTTTTTTACAGTGAAGTATTTTTATAACTTTCAGGGAAAGCTTGAGGGCAATAAAAATATTCTTGTTCCCTCTGGGCGGGGAATGCGAAAAATACGTTTCTCTAGTTAACCGCCCATATGAATGATGTATATACACTAGGACTAGGCTATTCTGTTCAATAAATATCCTTGCTCTGTCAGATATCTAGCAGATGTTGCCTGAACAATAGATTCATTTTCAAATTTTGGTACCTACGAAGCATCAGTCCACGACCTTTTCGGAGACGAGCTGAAAATTCTGCAAGCTATCCTCGATATCAGAATTGCTGAACATTGTTGACTAAAAAAAGCAAAAAATGCAGGCATCTATTCAATGGAGAGAGAATGATAGATGTGAGTTTCAGAGCGAAAATACTGTAATAAGAATAATGAAGAAAACTCGGAAATTCAGTTTTTTCACTCTATGCGGAACCAGAAAATTGCAATTGTGGAAATTGGGAATAGGGTTAGTATTTATTTGTATAAAGCTAAAAAAGCACAGCCTTACTGATCAGGACCTCCTGTATATAGACTGTAAAGTCACTTGAAACAGGGAGGCTTTCTGACAGTTGATTTCTGCATGTGTAATTATTTAATTAT